GGATGGTGAGAACAAGACTGTCTGTCTATTTTTAAAATGTTCTGAAGTTAAACTGTCCAGAAGTTAAAATATCAGACATATTGGGCAATTGACAGCACTTTTCTTCAGAATGCAAAAGAGCATTTTGATTGCCCGATGAAAATTTATTTTCTAACTCATAGCAAAAGTGCTTCTAATACTGTTTGCAGTCTCGCTGTTTGAATTCCCACTTTACATGTTCCATTTTTGTATCTTGAACAACTATTTATAAAACGACAATACGTAAACATCAACTAGTGATTTCTTACTATTTATTTTTTTCTCTGAATGTATGAATTATTTCTACCTATTTTCTGTTTTGTTTAGTATTTCTTTAAATAAAATTTTTAAAAAGTGCTTCTAATATTTACAAATTAACACTTAATTTGTTAAAAATGAGCATAATGTCTTAAAAGGTAATGAGATACCGAAGTAAGAGAAAAGTATCACTATTGTTTATATAATCATGTATAGAATCGACACTATTGTTTTCTTTCTTGTATTACTTTTCATTTATATCTAAGGCAAAAATTCCATTACCAGCATCTCCAGGCTCAATTTCTAGTCACAAGATGCTGTTAACAGAGATGGTATCCCTAGACTTCCAGTGTACTTATGAGTGTAAGTGTAGTTGCAAAATAATGCAAAAGGAAATTTCTCATGATGAAAATGTGAAGAGTAGAAAATAAAAAATTTTCAACTGCAGATTTTCTAGCTATTTGGCTTTATAATAGAGTAGCAAAACAGAAGCCAGGCATAGTGACACACACCTATAATCCCAGCCCTCTAAGAGGCTGAAGTAGGAGCATTCTGAGTGGGACCCAAACTCGGGTGACTTAGCAAGACTCTCTATCAAAACATTTCCAAATGTATGTTTAGACAAGTTAATTAATACTTAATACCATTTTTTGGGAATATAATGCAGTGCAGAATCCCTGGTTCAATGCCCAGTACCAGTTCAAAAATAAGGGGGAAAAAAAAAGAAAGAAAGAAGGAAAAACAATTTTCCATCAAGCCCTAATAAGTATAGTTTTCCTATAAAAATCAATTCCACACTATTCAGACTAACAGGAATCATAGGCTATGGTGTAATTTCATTAATTTTAACTCAATAAATGGTCACTGAGTATTTATTTGGTGTTACTTTCCGTGCCAGGCCTTCCACTACTTTCAGAAGTAGTAGAATTCAAAGAGAGACAAAACACAATTCCTGCCCATGAAGACCAGCTCCATCATCAGCTGGAAATCACCAGCAGATTCTCAGCAGGTGAATGGTATGAGCTAATTTAAAACACTTAATGTGTGTCATCAGAATACAGAAAGTTTGTGAGGCTTGAAAGCACTGTTAGGCTGAATTTATTCTAAAAAATGAAAACAAGAGCTGAGCATGACGCACATGCCTGTAATCTCAGCTACACTGCAGGGAAGTGAGACCACGGGATTACAAATTTGAGGTCTGCCTCGGAAACTTAACTTGGTGCTCCCTGATTCAATCTCCAGTAGTGGGGGGAAAATAAGTAGATAATAGTTATATAAATTTTAATACAATATTTATAAACTTTTATATGATTTTTATGTAATATTCATTTGACCAATTATGACACCACTGAAAAATCCAGACTAAGCTGGATACCTGAGGTAAGATTAGAAAGAAGTAAATTGACACAAGGGGCACTCAGGAAACAGAAGAAACAGATCTCCACCAACATGGCTGTGGAGAAAGTGGAAGGAGTTGAAGGGAAGTACCTGTTAGGTGGGTGACTGGATGCCACCAATGGCACAGAGGATGGTGGGAAGGCGGGGGAGGAGGACTCGTTTAATTACAGTGCCTTGAAGCCCGTGAGCAGAAAAGGAGAGAGACCTTTACTGTGTGTGATTCACCATAGGCAGGTGAAAGGCAACCTTATGGAGTACTCACTTCTGCTTTCTCATAATATGACTACAAGGAGATGATGCTTTAAATATGTAAAATTCTAGGTTTCAGAGACAGGAAATAATCTGTATTGGGACTTTCTTTACACATAAAAAAAAACTAGAAAAGAAGGGAAAAAATGGAAACAAAGTCTTTGTAAATAAGAAGGGGAATGGGGGGTCCAAGGGAGGGGAGGGGATTGCGAAAAAGAAACAAGATATATCATATATGGGTACAAATTCTCTATGATGAATGTTTTCATGTATATCTAAATGTACCAATAAGTTAAAGAACACAAAAGAATTTTGGAGTGAAAAAAAAAATTTTTTTTGGTCTTTTTCTTTTTATCGGTACCAGGAATCGAACTCACGACTGCCTGCTTGCAAGGTAGGTGCTTATGCCGCTGAGCTAAATCCCCAGCCCCTGGAGTGAAAATTTAATAATTTTTAAGAACTATAATTTAATTTGAATTTCCATGAATTACATTGGGATTGAGATAATTTCTTAGCTGAGAACACTTTCTTATACTATGATAAATAATTTAGATCGGATAGTTTGTTCTACTAAGTCAGACTTGCCCTCAGATGATGCTGAAGATACTTCATTAAAATTATCGCATTAAGTTTACTTTTAAACATAAGGACAGCAAAGAGTAGAAGTATTAATCAACTTGTCTATATATTTGAAAATGATGAATCTGGAAGTGGTTGAATTTAGGTCCTTTATTTATATATTATATAAGCAATTTATATTTGGTTCCATTCCAAAATGAGATCTTCACAAAAAGCCTAAATCCCAACTTAGACATTCTAGAGAGAGGTAGGAGTTTATAGTAGCAGGAGGCAGTAAATTAAGGGCTCCACAGCTGCACTTTATTGGAATAGATGGATATAGTATATTGGTGTTATGTGGGCCTCTAGTTCCCACCACCTCATTCACTCTTGAATGGTTCCCAAGGGGGACCTGATTTGATTATTACTAATAGGGAGATTTGTATACAGAAAGGTTGTATTCATGGAAAGAAGTTAATTAAGAGAATTGTAATAGAAAAGAGTCAATAAAGCCTGCACAGCATTTATGAAGCTGAAATGGCAAACTTCTATCTGCTTAGAAACCATTTAATTCAGCATTGTTCTGTTTAATATTTAATGAAATACTGAGCTGTTTCTACAAAACCCGGAGACTTGATTTTTGTCTGTTAGTAATCAAGATAAAGTTAGAGAATTCAATGCATCACAATAGTCATAAATTTTTAGAGATGAAAAGAACTTAAAAGTTGTGGAGTTTACAGTCAGTACTTGAAAGTATGATAATAGTTATTAGTTACAAATAGGAAAACAGTAAATATACAATGGAGATATCTGGCAAGTATTATTTGAATCAAGTGATCAAAGTTAACATTACCAATAATAAGACATAGCGACAGCTCTTTGTACACCCAATATGATGCACCGAGAAGGTAGAAGAAACACATCCTTACTCTAATAATGAGAAAACATCAGATGAGTCCAAACTGAGCAATGCTCTACAGATATCTGATCAGTTCTCTTTAGGATGTCATTAAAACAAAAACAAAGAACCATTAATTACATCTTAAAGGAGGCCAAGAAACGTGACTATTTAATGAAAGTTGAGATTCTGGCTTGGGTCAGAAAAGTAGCACCAGCAAGAAGACTGGCCAAATTTGAATAAGGTCAGGTTAATTAGTGGATCAGTGTCAGTTTCTTGGTTCTAATCATTGCTCTTTGTACTATTTTTACAACTTGTAAGTAAGACTAAAATTATATTAAAACAAAAAGTTAAAGAAACTATTTGACCTAATTTCTCAAAGAATTCGTCCTTCCTCAAGGTTATACATGGCTAAAAAAATGACACCTCAACTGGACTGTGTCACAGTTAAAATAGCAATTTTTGATTAGGTTACATTTTCTAGCACTTTTTTGGACACTGGAATTATGTTTAAATTATATAGTTAATTTTTGCCTCACTATGGAAAATATATAATTTAAAAATCTGAAGCCCAGAGGAAAAATACATTATTCTTTATGTGCTATTAACATGTCAAGTGAGTTTTCTCTTTTAATGAATATAATTTTCATTTTTTGAATATTAATTTAGGTATTTAAAAAAATCAGCCTAAGCCTGGTGATGTGGCATCTGCCTTTAGTCCCAATATTCAAGAGGTTGAGCCAGGAGGATTATTTGAGGTCAGGAGTTTGAAACCCGCCTAGATAGTATCATAAGACTATATATATATATATATATATATATATATTACATTAACAATTTATATATTATATAAGCAATTTCAATTCCTTCTGTAATATCTTTAAATCATTTAAAAACACTTATTACATAGGTTTTATATAGGATTATTTCTTTATTTAAAAACCATGGGGTTTTAACCCTCTTCTTTGTTTTGCTTATAGCACCACAGACTGACCCCTCCTATGTTCTGTGGTCTTACACACTGTGCTTCATCGGCAGCTTCATCTGTGAGCATCATGTGTGGCTGGGTTAAGGGCTGGCCTCCCACTGCAGTTTCCGCTACTCTTCTGTAAGGTACCCATCACTGAGATGAGATTACTGTTCACATAATGGCTCAGCTTTGTGCCTCTTAAACGAAGCACGTAGTATAATTTAATCCAGGATCTGCTGGAGAAATGGGCCTGAAGTTCCACATTCCAACAGACTTTTCATTCTACTGTGAACCCTGGGAAAGACAGGCAGGTTTTTCTGCCATCTGTCTATACTTCTTGTTCCCTATTCTGTCATTCTAAATGAAAGAATGTCTCTCCAGAGTCCTGATTTTCAGCAGGATCTCCACTCCAACTCCCTGTCTGTCCAGGTATCTTTCTACCTCATCCCCTAGGTTATGGAACACACTTCACCTGCTCAGAGAAACTGTGCCACCAGCTCAGCACAACCTTCGGCACTGCCTCTTACAGAACCATGACATTCTCTCTCCACTGTGAACATCTAATCATTCTTGCTATATTTTATTCAGCAATTCTAGGGGATGAAAATGGAGAATTTCTCAAGTTATTGTATTCTTTTCTCTTTTAGAAGATGTAACAATGAAGGTCACTGAAGAATGCTCTTATGCAATTTTGTTTTAAGGCTTCATCAAGAATAATTCTGAGGATGATCTGAGAAAGCTACAAGGTGGAGTTAAACTGGCATCTATTACCCAGTACGTGGCTTTCAGAGAGCTGGTTTACCCCAGTTAGCTCAGTGCAAAATGAAGTTACTTAGAAATTTAAGTTGCAGGTCTTACATATAATGTATTTATCAAAGAAAAAAAGGAGTTACCAAATTGGGGGTGGCCTTCTGTAATATTATAGACAATATCGTCTGGGCTGGCACCTGGAGCCTCAGCCTGTAAGATTCTGTTGGTGATCTGCAGCATGCCTCCTTCCGGAACCCACACCATTGAATTAGCCACGAGCTGAAGAGCTCCATCATTCTAGAACAAGGAAAAAGTGCAGAATTAGGACCAGTATGAAAACATTAATCCTTCAAAACGTAAGTTATTAGGCCTTGTTGTTGCATAAGATCATCTAAAAAGAGGAGATTCATAGCTTACACATACTATAAACTATGTGTGTAGATAATACACACATGTATATATCCTGCTTTTTCTTTAAATGTCATAAACAAACTGCTGACATCATTGGGGAGACTACGTCTCTCCACTGCTTTGTTTCATTTGTCCATCTACCTGTCCTGTGCTCATGATCTACCATACTCCTTAAGCATTTATTATATGCCAGTCCCTTTGCTAGAGAACTGAAATACACAGCAAATCTCAACTTCAGAACTTAGTCTGGTGAGAGAAACACAAGAATAGTTAGGATGCTTCCATCAAAACATATTCTATGTGAAGCTTGAGCAGAGTGTGTGTGACAAATGTAATGACAAGTAGAAACATCGAAACGACACCAGGATTTGGAGGCAGATTTATTTTACTGATGGGCATGGATCAGGATCATTCCCAGAATATCAGGCCTTCATCTCTGGTGATTCAGGACTATATGAGGTAGGCAGGCAGGAAGAAGAGAGGCAGAATGGTTTGTGAATTGGAGATTGGTTTATACATTGTGTATCATAGTGCTCAGCTATGCATCACAATGATCATCTGTTTTTAAGACACAGGAGCAATCAGAACTGGAACAGGAATTATTAGCTGGGAACTAAGAAACTGAAATTTACTGGTTGTGGGGGGAATTTTCTGTTATATTTCCCTCCTCTTTTAGTTTCCCTGGAAAACCTTTGCTGGCCATATAACATGTGATCTTTTGAGACAAGACCCAACTAGAAGCAGTAAGAATAAGGTTGTCAGGGGTCCTAGCTAAGGTCCCCAACACTGAAAGTTTTTTCACCAGGAGTCTGTGGTTTATTTTCCTTAGTACAGGGTTTCCCCCTAAGCTGATTCTGACAAAAGAGTGAAGGAAAGCTGTTTTCTATTGTTTTAATTTTTTAAAAAACAAAATCATTACTTGGTCCTCATTCTCCTCCTTCACCTTCTCCTGGGATTTTTTTTTATATATTGTATTTTTGTTTTAGATTTATAAGCAAAACAGTATCGGATAGACATTTATGCTGTAACCACTCTTGTTGATCCTAATGGCCTTCTTTCTCTTCAATTGCAAAGACTGGCCAAATATGAAAGGATGCAAGCACAAACTTGTTAGTTTATAGAATTAGGCCTAGTAGTTCCCTTCTCTCTGCAGGTCACATCTGATAATTGGAGGTAGCCATCAGTGAGAATTTTTTGAAGATTTTTTTTCTTCACAAGTAGAACTCTTTAATATCTGATTTCCCTCACCCAAATTCTTTTTTTCTGATCACTCATGTAAAGCCTTCAACCTGCCTTTAAGTTTATGCTTAACATTGATAGTATGTATTACCCTGGTTCTAAAGCATAAGAAAAAAAAAATCTTAGTTATAGAGCTGTACTGCTAAATTTGGGATTTATACTGCAATGCTAAGCAAAAACACTGAAACAATACCCAGGATTTGGAGGCAGATTTATTTACATCAACAGGCACTGATCTGGATCATTCACAGAGTATTAGACCCTGATCTCTAGTAGTCTAGGTCTTTTATATGATACACAACAGGAGGTACAAATTAGATACAAAGGCAAGACAGAGCAGCCTGGCAGTTCTTCTGATTAACTAGGAGGGTGAGACCATCAGTTACAAGCATAGATTAATGATGATCAGCTCATGAAACTTGGTACAATGGTCAGACAGGCATCCTGCATGTTTGGTTATGCTCTTGTGGTTAAAGAGGTCAAGAAAGTAATTACTAAGCCATGAAGCAGTTACAGAACTAGGCAGTTTCAAAAGAATAAAGTTTTAAAAGAACAATTTCTTTTGTACAGTTTTTCCCTTTCATTGCCCCTTCTTGTTGTTGCTCAGAAAAATCTTTTTTAATGCTGGGGCTGTTCTTTTTACCTAATCTGAGCAACTCTTTTAATGACAACAATATGCAATCATAACACCCATCGTTAAATACCTGTCATCTTGGTTGGGTCCCCCCCTCCCAGGGATTGAACTCATGACCTCACCCTTGCCAGGTAGGCACTTACACCACTAAGCTAAACCCCCAGACCCTCATCTTGTTTTGAAAGCCTATATTGTTATTGAGTTTCTTGATGTTGCAGCTGTTTATTTCTTTTTTTCTCTCTCTCTCTCTTTAAAAAATAATAATGCTGCATAGAAGGGGCAGCTCTTAACTTATGTAATCCAATTAATCAGGCAGGGCTCTATCAGAATTACTATAAGAGCTATCAGGAGTCCCAAAAGGGATTTCAGCCATGGTCCCAAGTCAGATAAACCTTGGTATCACCCCTGTTTCTGGTTTTATTCTTGAGCTCAGGTATTTAACCTCTCTTGTAATTGTTGCAGACCTTCTGGACTATTCCAGACGTATCAATACAGAAAGAGCAGTTTTCTTTGCACTGCAAACTCCTCTTTGTTATTCTTGTTCAGATAATTGAGGGGTGACCTTAAGGTGGTCTGTTTTTATCATTATTGGGTCCTCCTGAACAGGAGGCTATGGATGCATGTTCCCAGGAGGGGCAGCTATACAGGCTCTTGATTTGCAGTTTGTGTGTGCATATTTGTCTCCAGGGCACAGATAGAAATCAAAGGCCACCAGAGTGGATTCCCCATGGGTTCCTCTGGGTCCTTTTTGACAAGGGGGTATCTATGTGTCTAAAATAGTAATAATTTGGCAAAGATCAAATCTGACAATTACTGGGCTTTGTCCATTTCAGACTGTGGACTGAATTACCTCCTAGGTGTCAGTTTTTGTCAGGCAAAACTTGGCAGGAACTAGGGGTATGACAATTTGATTTCCCATGATTAAATTAAACAGATCTCAACATTAAAAGTCAGCACATTAGTAACAACAAACATTTCTAATTATAGCCCTAGGCTTTTTAGATGAGGAAGACAATTTAAAATAGTGAAGTCTGACTAACAACTGTACAAAGAGTAAGGAAAAGAGCCTTACTGGTTGCCTTTTTTCCCTTTGGGGCAACTGTCCATAAGGCCAAGGCAAAGGTTACAATCAGTAAAGAGGACAAGGAGCAAAAACCAAACTGGATAACACAACATCAGCTACATATGGGAGAGAACTGGGACAAGAAATCACACCTGGAATCCCGTGAATACTTTCCTCACTTCGGCAATGCATTGACCTGCCAGTGTCCAGAGTGACAGGAGCAAAGATTTAAGGGTGTTGTCCCTTCACAGTGAGCCCCAGAGGAGCTGTTCAGGTAAATTTTTCAGTGGATCTAAGGTTGAATTTCTGAAACTTGTAGAGGTAGTTAATATGTATCTGGGATATCTACAGATACAGCTGGTCTTTTAACTGGTCGTACATAGTTTTATGTGATTTGTTTGTTTGTTTGACCAGTTTCTGCCAGTTATTGTAGTGGAACTTTTTGTCTTTCCAGAAGGCAGCTTGAGTGTCATTTGTGAGGGTTTCTCTAAAGACAGTAAATAATGTGGAGAGGGACAGGCTGATAGGAGCCAACTGAAGGCAGAAGAGGGCATCTTAGGTCCAGGCAGGTGTATCAGCCTGTGGGCAGCAGAGGACAGAGGCAATGTATATGCAATGCAATCACGGCAGCATTGGCAGCCTGGAGATCTTGAACTGGATTTACAGGCAGGAGAGGTGTATTTTAGCAGTTTGACAATCTATACTGTTTCCTTGGGGGCTGTGACAGAGCCAAATTTGTCATCAGAGCCTCCCTGAAAATAGTAGGAGAGTTTTTAACCCCTTATGGGCAACTGAGTCTAAGTGAGTTGGCCTTTTGTTGCAGAATTTTCCCAGTTGAAGGGGCTTATGGGAGCAACTTGCAAGCAGAGGAAGGCATCTTTTCTGCATTGTTGACAACATGGAGATCTTGCCCAAGGTGATTAATATTCTAACAGGTTGATGTGTGGCTGGATGACTGTTGTGTTTTCTGCAACACAATGATAACAATGGGGGTTGTTGTGAGGTGGCATGATTGATTTCCAGGCTCAGAGGCAAGTCTTTAGCCTATACCTCTGGGATGTGAGTTTTTAGAACTTTACCATTGTGATTATTTGTGTCAGGCTGATGGAGGCATCATTTTCTTCTCAGAGAACAGTCAAAAATTGAAAGTGTAGGGTTAAACAAGAGTGAGGCTGACTGGCTTTGCCATAGATGTCCTCCTATGCTGTAAGTTTGTGTCTGGCAGAAGCAGTGAAAGGCAAAAGTCCCAGTTTCCCTGATGATGGTAACGTTTTGACAGAGGAACTTTTGAAGGCCGAGTTCTGTTCCATTGTTACAGGAGAGTAACAGGTTTGTGCCTGACTTTTGTGACCATGGATACTTGGGGCTCAATGTGATAGAGCTTGGTCTATCCTATCTATTCAGGTCTGACAGGGTGAAAATCATCTGTCAGGGCTGAAAGTCCAATTTTTTCTCAGTCAAAATGTGAAACTCAGAAAGAACTGTTGACAGTCATCTCAGGTGGGTATCAGATGGCATTAACTAACCAGGATATCATGTAAGCAGAAGGCTCTGAAGAGAGGGCCTCTGTGGATGAATGGCTAGCTGGAAACAGTTCAACTGGCTGGAAGTAGACAAATCTGGAGTTGGGAGTGAAGCTACAGTGGTTGGCTGCAACTATGGCAGCTGACAGGGATGCCAAATTGGAGTTCTCTTCCTGAGAATTCCAATTCCCAGGGTCTCTTTTTCTTCTTTTTCCTTTGAGATACAGGGAACAGTTTGGCTTCATTCTTAACGCTGTAAAATCTCCCTTTGATACAATCAAGGACTGTGGGTTTTGACTAATTAATTCCCATTTCTGGCTCCCTATGTATGTCTCATGTACCCTTGAATGATGGTGCAACAGATAAAAGGTGGGTGCTCCTCAGAGAGAGATCATTCAGGTACCCACCTGGCCACACTCCTCATGGGGACTTAGCCACAACTTAGTTAAGGAGGGTGAGAGGCTTTCATTATGCTATATGTCAATTGCCATGGAACCACATGTGAGGGCCCAATTAGTCGTGAAACCAGTGATTTCCAGTCTTGGTGCACAGTCAGAACAGCTTATTGATATGCTGTCTGTTCCACTCACTCACACAATCTTTCAGCAGGCACAGAGGTTGTACATTCCAATCCCCCTTTCCCTTGAGGGTAGCCTTAACTAATGAGTCAATCAAGGTCTTCTGTAAATGATTAACTAGAGTGCCCTGGGGAGTCTTACCAAAATCAGACACGCAAGCAGACAGGCAGTCAGACAGATTACATTTTTCTCCCTTTGGGGTCCAAGGTGAGTAACTTGAGTGGGAAGCCAGGAATCCTCCTCCAGACCTGTGAGGAAACTTGAGAAATCTGGAGGGTGCACCTTCCCATCAGGACCTGGAGATGTCCTTGCTCCACCCCTCAAGGGCCACAACTGGTGACCAAAGGGGTCAGCATGGTACCAGATGCAATGGCAAGCAGAAACACCAAAACAACATCCAGGATTTAAATGCAGATTTATTTTACATCAATGGACACTGATTGAGATCATTCCCAGAATATCAAGCCTTGATCTCTGGTGTCTATGGCTTATATGAAATAAGCAAGCAGGAAGTACAAAGGCAGGATGGCTTGTCAACTGGAAATTGGTTTATCCATTGTGCATCACAGTGATCAGCTGTTTTTAGGAAACAGGAGCAACTGGAACTAGAACAGGATCTATTACTTGGGAAACTAGCAAACTGAAGTATACTGGCTAGGGGGTCTATTATCTGTTACAAGTAGAGCAAAGAGGCCTCAGGAGGGTTTTCCTAAGGAAGTATCAATGCCTAGTTGAATAACAAAAAATCAGAGTTTCTAAGTAGAGAAGCTATGAAACAAATTTTAGCAGAGGGCCCAGTTTCACCAAAGGGAAAGATGAGAGATAACACACTGTGTTTAATAAAATGTTCAAATACTTGGCACTACAAGTGCTTAGAGAGACATGGAAAGTTTGGATAAAAAATGAGGCTTTCTTAAAGAAAGACATCAAGGTATAGAATCTATGCTAAAAGTTCCAACTTTTCTGACAGGCCCTATCAAGAACACAGAAGACCTCAGAGATGGAAAGAAGACATTAAGTCAGATGGGATGATCAGCCTGAAAGACAGACTCCAAAGGTAAGAGATGGAGGTGACCAGTATTGGGATGAACTCAGTGCTGTAGAAACTGTTTTAACAAGTTCTTGCACTGGCTCAGTGGAGAGAAGATGAATGCCCAAGAGAGAGCACAGGCAGTGGAAATGAATAATTAGAAACATTCCAGAATCACTGCAGACACAGAAATGATGAGCCTGATGGTTGGTTGAAAGTGAAACACCAATAGTTGGGAGTAGCTGGCTTGATGAAATCACCTATTTGATGCTCCCAGGGAGGCAAACTTTTTAATTGCTAAAGCTAATGTGATCAAAAAGTGCTGCCACTCCTGATTTACGAAGTGTGCACCCTCTTCCTGAGCCTCATCATTGACACTTTCTATAAAATGAGATTAGTAAGGATGCCAACGCCTTGTGTTTAGGTTGTTTCAATACTCCAAAAATTGGTGAATCTGATATTTTAAAATAGGGTGGTTCCAAAAGGGAGTGTTTTTCTAAATAGTTATTACTTTCAAGTATACCAATAACAACAGTGCAAACAGCATTGTCAGGAACAGACTATTCAAATGAAAACAACTATTCTTTTGCAATCAATTGGCACTTGACAGTGTCCCTTCTCACAAGGCACTCATGGTTATTTTGAGCACTTATAATAGGAAACTGAGTCACATTACACCCAGGAGAATAGCAGCACAGGTACATTTTATCCTGATTGGTGCTCGGGGCAAAATTCCAAGGCATTTTCTCATTTCACAATAGATACAGCATATTATTTATAAAAACATCAAATGTGTGCCAGAAACTTTGCATAGCATCTGCCAGAACTCTTGGAGAAAGGGCTCTAACTCCAGCAGAATTTCACATACTATGATATACTCAGGCCCAGCATTCCAAATTGCTAGAAATATTCCTAATAGCAGCAGTCAACTTTGATTTCATTTGTAGAGCTCAGTCAACTTTGATTTCAGTTATAGAGCTCAACTATGTAGCAATAACCTTATTATTAGTCTAAATAGGCAACGTAGTTTTTCATATTACAAGCAAGCAGATCCTGTGATCTGAATGCACATCCCCCAGAGGGCTCTCTAGGGCCTCCATGGCTTGATTTTACCAATATAATTTTCTAAAACTCATTAGTGAGTGTAAGTATTTAGGAGGCAATAGAATGTACAACTCAATGTTTACAGAAGAACAGCACCAAAAGCTCATTAAGACAGACAGAACCTCCGGCTCCCCCACTAGATCTTCCTAAAAAGACTTCCTAAATCTGAATTTTGAAAAGTTCCCAGGAGACATGCAGACATGCCAATATGTGAAAAGGTGATCCAGGGTTCACTGCAATGTTCATGTGATTCATAGGTGGGCTTTTTAGAATAATTATGTTTAACTGGGTATGTCGGGATATGCCTGTAATCCCAGCACTTGGGAGGTTGAGGCAGGAGGGTCCCTGTGAGTTTGAAGGTATCCTGGATCCTACAGCAAGATCCTGTCCCAAAAGAATTGCTTAGAATATTTAGGTCTAAGTCAGGACAATATATGTTTTCATATCTGAATTATTACCTTCAGTGACTAATTAACAATATTTATTATATGAAGTATAATTTTTCTTTATCAACAAGTTGGCAAAACAGGAGGTCTAGCCTGCAAGTTCCAACAAAAACTTTTACTTTTTTACTTATTTACTGATTTGTCAGTTCACTGATTGATTGATTTGCTCTTGATTGAACCCATGGCCTTGCACATGGTAGGTAAGCGTGCTATTGCTGTGTGACATCCCTAACCATTAACACCTTAATTTTAATAATCACGTACAGATAAGAAGTTTTCAGCACTTTGGTGGAGTGAAATCCAAAAATAGATGCTACACAGAAGATCACAACCAAAAATATACTTTATCCATATCACTTTCTCCTTCAAGATTCTCCTTCAACTTAGATTTAGGCTCATCCATTTGGGCTCCAGAGGGGAAAAGTGACAGATAAGTGAGTGCTCTGGCTCCTCACCCTTCTGGGACAATGCCCAAGAAGCCCATTTTTGTTCCTTACTCCATGGGTAACTGAAGTCTGGCCCGGTTTATAATCTGGGGACTGCTAGGAACAGGGAAAGGGGTGGGGAGGGGAGCTCACAGTAACCGCCTTGCATATCTCAACAAAGAGCTGAAAATCCTACTAGCAGTTTAGGGAATTCATCAAGAAGATGCCCCAATTTAGATAGCTCAGCTAGCTAGTAAGCACTCCCATCATACCCCTCTCATACAGCCAGTGACCCATGCTCCTATGTTCCTTCAGTCAGTAAAAGTGAACCCCTTAAAGATAGCACACATATCAAATAATAACCTTGAACACATCAGGGCATGGCCATAGGAAAAATAAATGGAAGGCTTTTGGCATACAGCTCAGCTTTGTAGTTTCAAAGAATACCCACGATCTCAAGATTTCCCAGAAAGAGGGAACAGAAAGAGTTTATAGAGATAAGGCCTAAGAGAACTCCAGAATCTTCAGCTTCGGTTACTGAAGGGACTGTTCTTTGAAATGCAAAGAGCAACACAAGGCTACAGAGAGCAACAAAAGGCTTCAAAGAGCACACAGAAAAATCAAGGGAACAGGACACTGGCCAATGAAAAAACTACAGCTACAGTGGTTGGTCCCCTCAGAATGGAGATCTATGAGTGGCTCAGTAGCAGAGCACTTGCCTAGCATGTGTGAAGCCCTGAGTTTGATTCCTTGCCCTAGGGAAAGAAAAAAATGAGAAGCTGCAGATTTGTGAATTGCCTGAGCAAGAATGTGAAAACCATAATCTTAAGGAAGTACAACGAGAGCCAAGAGAACAGATAGGAAACTAAACAAAAATCAGAAGGCAACACGTGAACAAAATGAAAAGTTCAAGCAACAAAAAGATAGAAAACATTAAAAAAAAAAAAAAACAAATTCTGGAGCTGAAGAATGAAATGATTGACAGAAAAACACTAATAGCGCTTCCACAGCAGACTCCATCAAGAGAAAAGAGAATCAGTGATGCTGCAGAGAGAGCATTTGAAATTGCTGGCTCAGCGAGACAAAAGAACAAAAAATATTTGAAGAAATAGTGACAAAAACTTTCCAAATCTAGGGAGCAAAACAGACATCTAGATCAATGAAGCCCAAAGAATTCCAAAAAAGTTGGTCATAAATACACCTTCATGGAGATAGATGTACTGAAGTCATATTTTCAAAAACTGATGACAAAAAGTTAATTTTAAAAGCAGCAAGATCAAAGTACCCCATCAAATACAACAGTACCCCCACACAACTCACAGTAGATAACTTAGCAGAGGTCCGGTGGGTCAAGAGAGTGGAACAAAATAGTCTAAATGCCATTCCAAAATACAATTACCATCAGGACTAATTGACCAGCAAAGCTGTCATTCAGAAATGAAGAAGAGACCAAAACTTTCCAAAGAAACAGAAGCTCATACAGCTCATTATCACTAACCTTGTCTCTCAAGAAATGCTAGAGTTCTTCCAGTTGAAATGAAAGGACAGTAATTAACAATTTGAAGACACACGATAGGAGAAAAATCACTGCTAGAGAAAAGTATGGTTGACCTTGTGTATACACAGGTCCTACCTACGTCTACAGGTGTAGCCAAATGTAAATAAAATGTAAATAAAAAATTTTCAGAAAAAGATTCTGTCTATTCTGAAGATGTATGCTTTTCTTCCTATGCATTTCCTACATAATACAACCACTATTTACATAGCATTTCACTGTGTTCAGTATTATGACTCTAGTGCAGTGGTGGTGAACCTATGGCCACCCATGCCACAGTGAGCTGTTTGTATCATTGAAAGAGCTAAAAGTTTCACCATTATTGCTTTAGTATAAAAGTTAAAAGAACAATATTAAATACAACTATATCTATAGGAATATGCTAACGCATTCATGATATAGAGATAAATGGTGACATCAGTAAGATAAAATAGTGACAAGCAGGGAGAAGTAAAAATGGAAAGTTTTGGCTAGGACTGAATTACTGTTTAAAATGGACTACTATATTTTATGTAGGCCTCCCAGTGATCACAAAAGATCTTTTGTAGATAAACAAAAGGAGGAAAGAATTGATGCAAATCAATTCACAAAGGAAAATAAAAGAGAAAGAAATCCTGCATTTGAGACATATATATGGATGGATCTGGAGGAGGAAATTCAGCTAAGTGAAATAAGCCAGCCACAGAGATAAAAACTGTATGATGTTGCTTATATTTGGAATCTGAAATAGTAAAACTCATAGAACCACAGAGTAGAATGACAACTGGTAGGGGCAGAAGAGGGAACAGGTGATATGACAAGCAAAAGATACAGTTTCAGTTCCTCAACATAAACTCTGGAAATCTGTACAGCGTAGTAGCTAGGGCTAACAATACTTATAGTTTGCTAGGAGATGATCTTGTTTAATGATCCTACCATAAAGAAGAGTAATAATAGTAGAGGGATTGTGGGGAAATTTTGAGAGATGATGGTGTCTATAACTTTGAAGTGGTGATGGTAGTATAGGTGTGTACATATCTCTAAACTCAGATTCACATATATCAAATATAAGGAGCTTCATATATATTAATCATACATCAATCAAGTAGTTAAAAAAGAAGTCATTTCATCATAAAGGTTCTTTTTATTTTGGGGGGAGCATATGAGAATATTCAAGAAGAGACAGATAGAAAACTATACACCATCTTTTCTATAGCTAAAGTATTCCAAAAGCCAAATTTTAATTTGATTTCCCCATTTGGTATTTTTAAAAATCTTCTAATAGTTTTCTCCTGCATATTTTCTTGTCAACTTAAGAAATTAACTATACTACTAATTGAGCAATCTCCTGTCAGTGATGTTTTTATATATCCCCCAGAGTACATTAGCAGGCAATAAAATCCCAACAAGTAAAATCGAGGGCATGATTAAAACAGTGCTTTAAATTAAACAGTTTTTCTAATTCATTTCCTAGCACAATAGGAATAAAGAAATGTTGATAGTAAAGTTTAGCCATTACATATTGTATTACAACTAAAAATATTAATGCTGTAAACTAGAAGAACCTCCATCCTTTGGAGGAAGAACCTCACAAATAAAATGAATATCCACCCTTCCTAAAAGTTCGGCCTCAAATCTCGAAATTTTAGCTTTGGTTTAGTATATTCAAATCCCAGACCAAAATATCCAAGATACAAGTTTTTAAAATTTCACTATTTAGAAAGTAAATGCATTGTTGTTGGATATAAAAGCAACTCTATTACGCTCTTATTCGCTAAAAAGATGCCTTAATGGATAAGAGCTTATTTACACTATAGCTTTTAAAATTTACTCTTCGGGACATTGTAGACTTTAGGAAAAGAACATGCAGTGTTGTGGGTATGAGGAGAAATTTATCAGCAGGAAGAAAGTGAGCAGTAGTTGGAACCTTTTGTGTTTGTGAATGTGTATGGGCATTAGAAGCTAGTTACTTCAGGTCAGAAATCTAGAACGTTTGCTTCATGTGGAATACAACTAAGATATCAGTGAACTAAACAAGCTAAGAAAACCTCCCAAAGGTGAAACTCCTGATGAGAAGGATTTATTTATTTGTGAAATGGTTAGACTCTTTCATACAAATAAACATTTTTATACCACTGATATTTGCAATTTTCATAAGTGTCATTACTACCAAAATAATTATATCAACGTAAAACTACCAATGAGAGGGTTGGCATCAATGAAATTGAGGAAAAACATCTTAAGGTTTAACTTTTCATTGCACATGAGCATTACCACAGCCCGAAAGGATTCTCAACAATGGAACTCCCCACCCAGCTTACAGTATGACATTTGGGGGTTTTCACATTAAAGTATTACCCAGCTGTAGAAAATAACTTTTCAAATAACAACAGATGAGGTCAGAAAGATCATCAGATTTATTGCCAGCGCGGGAAAAGTCATGGTTGCCAGAGGCACCTTAATTAACGGAAACCAGGTAATTCCTTGAAAGCCCAGCAGTGGAGAGAAGCCCATCACTGAGCATGGCTTTCCCCTGCCCAGATTTTAGGTCTTAGTAGATGCCAAATTGCTTTAGAGTCACATCTATAGTAGACTTGGATTTGGTAATCCACTCAATTAATAAAAGCCTATTCAGCACAGTGTTCTTTATTACTTTTTAATCTTTTTTTCTTTTATTGCCTCTTTCTCCCAACAGAACATGTTTTAGCATCAGTCCTGGTTCTATTTTCTCCTCAGCAACTTAACACATAATCCTGGAACTGGCAGTAGGGTTTATTCACTGCCAGGCCAAGTTTGGGGAAAGTAATTATCACTGGAAAAACAAAAGCGAATGGACCAAACTTCTACTCAGTCCATGCTGAGACACCCCAGCATCAACAGAGGTGCCCTGAGTGCTTCCCAGAAGACAGAGAACCACAGGAAAGCTGAACACTCACATCACCACATCCACCCCTACACGCCCAGCCAACAGACACATACAGAAACCTTTCACTCTGCCCTGTCCAGGAGTAAAACATAATCTCTCCTCTCACAATGTTTCCTTTTTCTATCACAAAAAATAAGCTGAGTTTCCTCCTGCATTAGAGTTAATTTGTACTTTTATTTAGCATGAATGTAACCTAAATCCATTGGCCATTCCATTTAAACCACCAGCTAGACATCAGCCAGTAAACAGCCTTCTCCAAATTTGACATACAGGTAGCCCCAGACTTAAGAATCTCAAGCCATCTTCAGAACTGGTGATTGCAGTGGAACCAATCATGTCTGACTCGATATCTACTGGATGCTGTAACAACGGAGGCCACTTTTTCTTCCAGGTCCAGTTGGCTTATGATTGTAAACACCCTCCCTTGGAATAAGCTGTAAGGGTCCAGATAGAAGATTCCAGAAGGCATTGGACTTGTCTGCTTGGCTAGGACACTGATACAAGGACTAGGGTAATTTTCTTCATTTTATGAATTAAGGGGACAAGAATATATATGACCAAATTATCAAAAAACAAAGGCCAAAATGAAGAGTCTTATGATAAAGTGTAAAACCCAGATACACCTGAAATAAAACCACAGCCTGGCACTAAATACCTTTATGAAAAAAACTGTTTTTAAGCCTCTTTTTTGCTTTTGTTTCCTCTTTTGGAAAATTAATGACAGTGATACAAACACCGCAGAATGACGGTGAAGACCAAAAACAATCATTCGCATCAAGATTTAGGGTCCAATACATATGAAAAATGAAACAAAAAACCCTTTCCATTCACAGAATTTCCTTTAAGAAGAATAAGCTCATAATGCTTCTACTCTAACCATCTACACTAAGATACTGTAAAGATCAAGAGAACAGGTAGAAGAGAAATTATTCTGAATTCCTAAAAAGAAAAATAGTATGTACTTGTATAATATTGTTGGTATTATAATCAAGTTTATTATTAGCACATACTGATGCATCTGGGCTCTGGTCATTAGATTCCTGGCTCCAGTCCATGTAAAGATCATCTCATGGACAGGTAACCACAGCACTGGAGGAGACCATGGGATGAGAAAGGGAAGGAGGAGGGACATCTTAAACTCACTCCAGAAATTGTACACTCAGTAAATACTTTTAGGATTTGTAGGTTGTACTGTAAGAACTCCAAACTCTGTGTATGTACCTCATTTAGGACTTAACATTCTGTTTTTCTTTGTTTTAGCAGTTAAAACAGCTAAAATCCTAGAAATGCTCCTTTAATGTTTAGGTATTCCATGCAAAATGCCTGTGCCCTAAGCTCAGTTCCTAACATGGAAATTGAAATCAAATAGGCTGGTAGTGGGGAGGGGGAGGCACTGCACTGAAGTCTTATACAACCCTTGGAAAGAAACTAAAAAGAAACAAAACTCTTTGCATCTATCTAGATTTCATCTCTCCAGAACTAAATCTCATCTCCCAGGGTGATTGTGTGAGGGTGATAATTAGGATTAGCTACAAGGTGGACCTCTGCCAACTTGATTTCATAATCAGCCTTCCTGTGCTTCCATTTCTTTCACGCCACTATCCCTGTTTCTAGCAGCTGAAAATAATGAGACATGAGCTGGAGAAACTAGTTAGCAGACTATATTAGAGACAGCTGTTCCCCCTCAGGAGGACCAATTGCAAATTCTGAGTGATCATTGGTGAGAAAGTGACAAGTGATTTTTAAACTCTCAGCAAATCAATTTTGCTAGCTGATTGTTAATAACATTCCCATAGGTAATGCTATTGGGAATGAAAAGCATTTTTTTAAAAAGTAAGTTTCCAATTTATCATCAGGGCAAAGAGTGATTCTTGGTGTAATTGATAAAAGGACTTCCAGCAAAATATCATTAAGTTTTGGGAGCTTTTTCAGTGGCACTGTACATTAGCACAGACCAGCTCAGTATTTCCTTAAGTGTGATAATTGTCTCATTTGCAGTATCCACCACTATTTTACATAGCACGTGGATGAAATGTTATAGAATGGTAATGCATTCATTTTAACAGTTTAGAAAAATGTGACTGTACATCAAGCCTATGGTTTCATAGGTGTTCTTTGTTAGGATGATGTTACAATGAAAAGTAGATTCAAAGAAAAATATTAAATAAGTATTACTCCAATA